TCTCCCCTCTTTCTCTCTCTCTCTCTCTCTCTCTCTCTCTATCTCTCTCTCTCTCCCTCTCTCTCTCTCCCTCTCGCCCTCTCTGTAAACATGGTAGGATGGTCCTCTATTCTTTTTGTGTGGTTTGTTTAACTATTTTTATTTTTCTTTGTGTCTCCTTAATGCCAAATAAATGTTAGTATATCTGCATGCTTATGATTTCTTTTTAAAATATTTACAATTTTCCTTTTATTAATATCTTCCCACTGATCTTACAATATTTTATTTTATGGATATTTTTGTGTTTGATTTTTGTCTTCCCTCAGTGTGTTCATTTTCCTTTGATTTTTTGTGTGGTTTCTTTGTGATAGACTTATCATCCATGAGGGTGGTGTTGTTCTCGAACTATAGTTCAGTTTAAGGTTCAATCGTTAGATTTTTATGTTGGGTGTCGCTGGGTAGTAACCTAATTTGTTGTTAATGGTTGTTTTTTTCTTGGTGTTATGCTTTTGTCTATACCTAGACAACTTATTATTTTGTTTTGTAATCTCTTCCTAATTTTATGATGTTGTGTTTGTGTATGTTGTGTATGTATAATTGTAAAACTTTCATTTTTTGTTCCTGTTAGGCTATTTGTTGATATTTTTATGCACTTTCAACAAATTCTTTAAGACAGAAGTTCTTTATTGCATTTATTTGGATGAATGAATTTGTGGAAAATTATCTCTTTTGTGCTAGGGGTGTAATCTAATGTAAGAAGGTTATGTTAGTCAATTCAGGTGGGTTTGCCGTTTAATTCTGGTTTATGTGATTGGGGTAGAGGTAGACATTCTTGGATATGCTTTTTGTTTTTTAGCTATTATGTGTATGGTGTTTGGCACACCATATAGGATTTCCATGAAACATTATTTAAAGACCCACGACAGGGCCATACCGGCTGTGCGTAGGCCCTTAGTTTAATTTATAGTAAATTGGTCTTATATTGTTATTTTATTTTATTTAATTTATTTTAAAATATTTAATTTCACACTAAGTAACGTTTAATATATATCACATTATTTATGGATAAATGAAATTAAATTTAGAAGATAATGTAAATTATATTAAATCAAAATTATTAAAATATAAACTTATAATAAATTATGTAATATAATATACTAAATAAAATTAAACGGAAACAATAATTAAAATAATAAGTTAAAATAAAATTATAAATAATTATTATAAATTATAATTATGTTATAATAATATTTAATGTACTTATGTTATATTATTTTTATATATTCTTATTCTTATATTATATAATTTATTTTAATTTATATTAAGTTATTATTAAACAAATAGAAAATAATTAAAATAAAATGATAAATAAATTTAATTATAAATCAAATTATTAAAATATAAACTTATAATAAATTAAAATATAATAAACTAAATTATATAAAACTTAATAATTAAAATAACTTATTATATTAATAGTTAAAATAAAATTATAAATAAATATAAAAAATTATAATTAAATTATAATACTATTTAATGTATTTATTTTAGAATTATTTTATATTAAAATTATTTTTTAATAAATAAAACTTAGAAATTAAAATTATTTATTCACATTAGAATTAATTTGTTTCAATTTTTTTATTTTGTATGTAATGATAAATAATATTTTTAATTTTCTTATATTTATTATTCCCTGATAGGTTACTTTATTTATTATCTAATTTATTTGATCATTTGAATACTTTATTTCTTTTATAATTATTATTTTTATGTTACTTTAATTAGTCTATTTTAATTTTATTTATTTTTTCGTTACAATTTCTGTATTATATTTTCATTTAAAAATTAATTTAAATTATTTTAATAATTCAAATTTAAATTTATTAAATTTTAATTTCACGTTATGTAATTTAATTGTTTAAAAGTTATTATTAGTATTAATTATTTATTTACTTTATTTTAAAATATTTAATTCGTTTATATAAATATATTTATATATGTTCAATGAATTTCAATAATATTTATTTTAGAATTATTTAATAAATAAAATTTAGAAATTAAAATTGTTTATTTACATTAGAATTATTTACTAAAAAATTATAATTTGTTTCCATTTTTTTATTCATATTGTATGTAAGAGATTTATTTGATAAATAATATTTTAATTTTCTTATATGAATTTAATAGTTATATTTACTTAATTATTTATTCCATAATAGGTTACTTTATATTATTTATTTTACTTGATCATTTGTATACGTTATTTCTTTTATAATTATTATTTTTATGTTACTTTAATTAGACTATTTATTTTTTAATTCATTTTCTGTGTTATATTTTCATTTAAAAATTATTTATTTAATTTATTTTAATATTTAAATGTAAATTTATTAAATTTTAATTTCACGCTACTATATTAAATCTTACTTTATTTTAATTTATTTTTTTATTATTTTATGTTAATTTAATTTAATTATTTAATTTATAGTAAATTGGCCTATTATATTGTAAAATTTTATTTTATTTACTTTATTTTAAAATATTTAATTTATTTTTATAAATATATTTATGTTCAATGACATTCACATTGAGTGCTATTTGTCATATGGATAAATGAAATTAAACTTAGAAGATAATGTAAATTATATTAAATCAAATTATTATCATATAAACTTATTATAAATTGAAATATAATAGACTAAATTATATAAAATTAAATGAAAAAATAATAATTAAAATAACTTATTATATGAATAATTAAAATAAAATTAAAAAAATATATAAAATATTATAATTATATTATAATAATATTTAATGTATTTATTTTAAATTTTTATATATTCTTATATTTTATTATTTATTTTAATTTATATTAAGTTATTATTAAACAAACATAAAATAATTAAATAATATGATAAATAAATATAAAAATTATAATTATCTTATAATAATATTTAATGTATTTATTTTAGAATTATTTTTATATTAAAATTATTTTTTTAATAAATAAATTTAGAAATTAAAAATATTTAAGAGATTATTTGATATATAATATTTTTAATTTTCTTAAATTTAATAGTTATATTTACTTAATTTATTATTCCATAATCGGTTACTTTATTTATTATTTATTTTACTTGATCATTTGTATACTTTATTTCTTCTATAATTATTATTTTTGTTACTTTAAGTAGTCTATTTTAATTTTATTTATTTTTTAATTACAATTTGGATGAATGGATTTGTGGAAAATTATCTTCTTTTGTGCTAGGGGTGTAATCTAATGTAAGAAGGTTATGTTAGTCAATTCATGTGGGTTTGTCGTTTAATTCTGGTTTATGTGATTGGGGTAGAGGTAGACATTCTTGGATATGCTTTTCGCTTTTTAGCTATTATGTGTATGGTGTTTGGCACACCATGAAACATTATTTAAAGACCCACAACAGGGCCATACCGGCTGTGCGTAGCCCACTAGTTTAATTTATAATAAATTGGTCTTATACTGTTATTTTATTTTATTTACTTTATTTTAAAATATTTAATTTCACACTAAGTAAAGTTTAATATATATCACATAATTATAAAAAATTATTATAAATTATAATTATATTATAAAAATATTTAATGTATGTTATATTATTTTTATATATTCTTATTATATTATTTATTTTAATTTATATTAAGTTATTATTAAACAAATAGAAAATAATTAAAATAAAATGATAAATAAATTTAATTATATTATAGTAATAATTAATTTATTTATTTTATAATTATTTTATATTAAAATTAATTTTTTTATTTATTTACATTAGAAAAAAATTATAATTTGTTTCAATTTTTTTATTCACATTTTATGTTAGAAATTTGTATACTTTATTTCTTTTATAATTATTATTTCTTTTATTTCTTTTATAATTATTATTTCCTTTATAATAATTAAAACTTAAATTATTGTTCCATAATAAGTTACTTTATTTATTATTTATTTTTTCCTCGATCATTTGTATTCTTTTTTTCTTTTATAATTATTATTTTTATGTTACATTAGTTAGTCTATTTTAATTTTATTTATTTTTTACTTGCAATTTCTGTATTATATTTTCATTTAAAGTTTATTTATTTAATTTATTTTAAAAATTAAAATGTAAATTTGTTAAATTTTTATTACACACTACTATATTATATTTTATCTTACTTTATTTTATTTTATTTTTTTATTATTTATATTAATTTAATTTTTGGAATTTATTATTAGTATTAATTATTTAATTTAATTTATAATAAATTTCCTAATGTTATTTTATTTTATTTAC